CACACACACACACACACACACACACACACTTAAAATATATAAAAAATAAAAATAAATAATATAAATACAAAAACAAAAACACACATATATATACATATATATCTCTCTAATATATATATATATATATATATATATATATATATATATATATATATATATATATATATATATATACTGTGTGGACTTTGCATGTTCACCCCGCATTCGTGTGGGTTTCCTCCTGGTGCTCTGGTTTCCCCCACAGTCCAAAGTCATACGTTATAAGTGAATTGTGACTGTACTGTGTATTTACACTGTGAACAGGAAACAACAGAAAACAATATTAACGTTATACCAGACACTGTAAAAAGGTTATTCTCAGCCACTAGACTTTTCTGACAGGGTATTCGAGTGCCATCGAGTGACAAATGTGAAAGTATGTTGTGTGACTATTATACACGAGTTTGTGGACCTGTATGGATTACAGATATAGTTTTTTGTAAAGAAAAGCATGATGGTAAAACACAAATGCTGTTATGAATGTATTAAAACATATGGTTGTTTGTTTGTAAAAAGTCTTAATAATGCCAAAAATACTAATTGTGTAATCTCCTGACTCATGTGTGCAGCCATGTTGCCATTGTAGCTCGTGTATTGTGTGCATTTTCCTTAGCGTGGTCCTCAGGAAAATCTCAGTTTCAAGGGCTATCTAGCCCCTTCCCTTAGCCCTATGCCTTCAAGCTAAAGAGAATAGGGACACCCCTAGCCCTTTACATGAATGCATAAAACGAGGGGGGGAGGGCTAAGGGGTAGAATTGGGCCTTAGACACTACAAGTAAAGTACATCCTGCACCAAACTCCTCCTTTTAGACACACTCAAAAAAAAAATACTCAGATTAATATTCAATTCAATTTGCCTTTATTTGTATAGCGCTTTTGCAATGTAGAATATGTCAAAGCAGCTTTCACATATTAGATCATAGTAAATTAAAACAGTGTAGTTCAGTTTTCAGAGTTTAAGTTCAGTTCAGTTCAGTTCAGTTTAGCTCAGGTCAGTGTGGTTTAATAATCACTACTGAGGGTCCAAACACTGAAGAGCAAATCCATCGATGCGCAGCTACAGTCCCTGAATCATGCAAGTTAGTGGCGACAGCAGCAAGGAAAAAACTTCACCATTTGGCGAATGTGATAAATAAATTAAAAAAACTCCAGAAGGTTACCACCTTGCAGAAGCACCCATGCTTTGGGTGTTGGCAGCTTAATTATCAAAAATGCAGTTTGTTGCTTTTCTCAGAGAGCAATAACTGTCCTAAAATGAGTTCTGAGATCAGTCTCAATCAACTGTATATGTAACTCATGAAATATGCTTAAAAATTGTCTCTTTTAGTTTCTTTAGGATAACTTTAAATAAAAGTAAGAGACTTTGAAATGTACGTCACATAATAGACATACATGACATTATCCAACACAATCTCACGGCAATTCGTAACTTTTTCATTTAGTGGCTAATTCAAATCGTACTACATTGTATGAATTAGATCGTACGAATTCATACAATTTAGTACGATTTGCTTATCCCCCAATGACGGTTGGGGTTAGGGGTGGGGTCAGGTGCCACGCCTACTTTTTAAAATCGTACCATTTTGTACGA